CTATTTCACGATTATATAGCTCAACATAAATATTTATCACAAAAAATACTTTTTCAGTGGCGCTACATCTTCCATTGGCCGGCGCTACTACCATTCGGCCAAATTTCACCCTGCAGCTGACACAATGATGTTTGAAAACTCGTGAAATGGCTTGAAATCACTGTAAATATTAGTAATTCATCGTTTTGCAGCGTCTATGTTGATATTTCATAGAAAATTTTGTAGAAATTCTCAAATAAATCTGTTTGGCCGAATACTTTTTTTGCGCACAATTTCGACCTCTCGACAAACATGGCTACAGAAAAGGCAAAAATTATGTTAATTATTTCCGGAATCGGCCTGAATTTATAAGAACAGATTATAAACTTAACAAATAGATAGAAAATAGTTCGGTTTTTGTCATTTATAACACGAAAAAATCCAAAAATAAAAAAAAAATTCAAGTGGCCGAATACTTTTTTACCTGACTGTATGTATTCTGCTTCACCACTGCATTGGATAAGACCTTCATATTTTGGAATCGGCTGGGTCAATGGATATGAATTCTCGTCCGATTCATACGTTTGAATGCCAGATGACAGTGGCCGTTCCAACCCGCAACATACTCCCCTTGAAACTACTTTATTTTCTAAGGTACCTCCCGACTAGGGGAATATCACGAAAAATTTTTTATTGAATTTCTATTGATTTTTGCATTTTTTTAAAATTAATTTCAATTATATTACATTATGCGAGATATCTGAGATTTTTCATTTTGGTCGATTTTTGCAGATATTTTAATGCTGGTTTTGGCGGATCGTTCAGAACTGCTCCCGATTCTGGAAGTGAGTTTTGGTGGATCTTCAGGATGGACCAGACTGGGTTTGACAATGCCCTGGCCCATCCTGAGGATCCACTTCCAGAACCGGGAGCAGTTCTGAACGATCCTGAGGATCCACCAAAACCCACTTCCAGAACAATTTCATTGAAGCATAATTCAAAAGTTCAGTGTAAATGTACATTTATTTACACGAATTGACAAAAATTGATCGAATCGGACCGAATTGAAGGAATTTTTCAGAATTTATAAGAATTCATTCATTTTTTTCGTGAGAAATCCCCCTAGGTTTCAACTGTTTCCAAAAGAATTTTCTATCGAATTTGGCTTTCAACTATGAAGAACTGACGCTCTCAACTTTTAGTTCAATACTGACGTCCACCTTTTCTATCATTGATGCTTTTTGCACGGAAAGGAATGAAATGACACATTTTTATAATGCAGTCGAATTATATGCATAAAACGTGTATACACGATTTTAAAATTGAGGCTGTGAGAATGAAAATGGCAATACAGGAATAAACATTCTAAAACGCATCAAGAAAAAAAAATTGCAAAAATGAATCATGAGTTCTGAATATGCAAAATTGAAACATGAATTTACATGGGCAGCATAGGAGGTTCATGGTTCACTTTTGCGTATTCAGAACTCATGATTCACTTTTGCGAATTTTTTTTCTTGATGCGCTTCAGAATGTTTATTCCTGTATTGCCATTTTCATTCTCACACCCTCAATTATCAAATGATTCGTGTACAATGTACATGATTTGAACTCTGATTACTATCCCAAATAAAAATCCACATCAAATTTTGCTCATTTTGTACAGGTTTTTTGATATGGAAATTTTGATTCACATAAAAAATTAGCACAAATCTGGTGTAAATTAGTGAGGGCTATACAATTTTAGAGCACATTTTTCAAAGTATTTTTTATTTGAGATCCTTATCGCTTTACTTTTGTATTAGAATCGGTGATAAAAAAAAACTTATGCAAACGGCTGGGTAAATGAGTATCTTGAGTAATTCCGAACATATAGGCTATATGAGTAGTTTGGAGCGAAAATGTTATACAAAAAAGTTGAGAGGAAAAATGTCAAATGAAAAGAGATAGCTATATAGTTCACTATAGTTTACTATATAGCTATCCCTTTTCCGCTCATTCATCATCGACATTTTTCCATTCAACTTTTCTGTATAACATTTTCGCTCCAAACTACTCATATGTTTCAAAAGCATTCAAATGCATGAGACAATTTGATTTTGCATTTCGTTTTGTGGCATTTTATTATCATCGAAATTCATGAGGCGTTTAAATTCCTTTTTTCGTTAATATATTTCCTTCAAATTATTATCAAGACATCAACGTTTTCAGAAAGAAGAATTACATTTAAAAAAACTGGAAAACAGCTCGGTAAAATCAACAAATCGATGAGAGTGTAATTCTTCAAAGATAAAGTTAAGAATTAAGACTTAATGGGCTAAAGTACAAATCAGGTTGGATTTGGTTTGATTCGTGTATTCTCAGTAAATGGCTTGATTCAAGTACTTGTGTTCTTGTATACCAATGCGAAATTGCATGCTTCTTATATTTTGCATACATAAATGACTAAATTACTGTACGAATGCACACAAGAACGGAATGCGCTGGACTCGAGTCGAATCCTGAGTCTCCATGAATCATACCAAACTCCACCGGATTTTCCATCAAAGCATTTTCTTCGTTCCAATCAATTCGGTTGATTTTGATGAAAACGTCACCATTTCCCGTTTTAATGATGATTGACCCAAAATTTTTGCCGAAAGGTTTGTGTATGGTATTTCGAACATGAGTGAAAACACCACCGCCGTTAGGTAAACGAAGACGGTAATTCCAGTTATCATTACCACCTAGAAAAACAATCAAGAAATGGATTAATAAATGTGGAAAAAAACTGATTCGACCATATCATGTGATATACGTTCTACAAACCATTGAAACTGGATCGATATGCGTGCTGTGATCTTGCCATCCATATACCAAAATGATAACGACTGGATTTAGCAAATAAATTCCATACGACAATTTGTTGATGTGCACGAAAATTGGATGGTTTAGAAACTTGGCAAAGCGGCCACCATATCCTGCATGACTGGCCAGAATCATCCATGATATTGACGCCGGATACAAAATACGCATGATTGTAATCGCAAACGCGGTCGTAACATACGATGTGTCAGGGTTTATTGTCGATTTATGGCAAAGAATAAGAATTGTTATCATCATGATCCAAGTTATTTTGATGGTTTTCTTAGAAGAAAATTTTCAAAAAAATGTTTCGTTACAAAAATTGTCAATATTCTGGTAAACCACTTACTTCACCCAAGGGCAATTTACCCTTCATCATGTACATGACATAGCCAGCTGCAACTCCGACAAGGTACGGAAGGACTCGTGTCCACGGTGCAATATACATTTCAGTGAACAATGAATGAAGAACATCATAGGTGAATATGCATTTTGTAAAGATAACGACTGAAAAGAGCAAACCAACGCATATCGCAAATAGCGAACAGAACATTAGCTTTGCTGCATTTGGATATCTGTTCGCGACGAGATAAAAAGAATTCAATTTGATATTTGCCTAATTTTCAAAATAATTTAATCATTTCAAGATAAAATAAAAAAAATTACTTTGCATAAATGAACAGCAATGCGGTTGACAAAATGGTGTATTGCATTTCGCAGGCCAGCGACCACGACCATTTTAAACACATTTCTTCTGAGTTGAAGACATTTTGGATATACAATAGA